TTTATCATTTTTATGATTTTTAGTCTTGAATTTTTATTTTATAACTCAAACACTTTTTTTTAAATATTATGCATGTTGACTGTTTTAAAAAAAAGATTGTTCTCATTAATATGGGGTACACGCGCAAAGCGCATACCCTAAGACTAGTCTTTATAAAATTGTGTTACTGTATTCTACTTCTCTAGCATATTGTGTTCTATTGGTGTCTCTGCTACAACGTTCCAAAGATTTTAGCAATGATTGGTTGGGGTAAAGAGGAGCGGAGCGAAAGTGGAGGGGTAAAAAGGAAGCATGATATTTTTACTTTCTTCCAATTGCGCCAAACAATTGGAAGTAAATCATTAATATCTCATAAAGACGAAATAAACCAGTTAATCTCTCTCCCTTTTAAAAAGAACAGTTAATATCTCTACCCTTTCTCATATTCTTCTTGAAGCCAAATTTAGTGTTAGTGACTCACTTTTGTGCTGCTTTCATCAGGACTACCGATCAGATAAGAGAGGAGAATTTATACTCTGTCAGAGGATGAGAATGTTGAAAAGACAGATTGCATGTCGGAGTGACATTAATAGGATGAATGCTGCTTTGCTAGCTATATATGAGTCCTTAATACCTCCAGAAGAAGAAAAGGCAAAGCAGAAGCAGTTATTAGCACTTTTGGATAAAATTGTTAGCAAGGAATGGCCTGGTGCTCGGCTCTATGTTTATGGATCTTGTGCCAATTCTTTTGGTTTCTCGAAGAGCGATATTGATATTTGCCTTGCAATTGAGGATGCAAATATGGACAAATCAGAGGTATTGTTGAAGTTGGCTGACATGTTGCAGTCAGACAATCTCCAGGATGTGCAGGTATTCCAAAAATCTTAGCTACACACCTACTGATGTTCATTTATGCACTATCCAGATACATGATGCACAACACATGCCAGACTGGCCTCTAAAGAGGGGTTTGGAGGGCGCTAGGGTTGGTCTCAGCCAAAGGGGAGGGAGGACCAATCCAAGATTTGCCAGGGGGGGTCTGTCCAAGGCTACTTTTTATTTTATTTAATTAGTTATTTATGGTTTTGCATATTGCAAACTGAAGAAAATAAAAGAAAATCGCCCTCTCAAAAAAAAAAAAAAAAAGAAACAAAGAAAATTGGACACGACTGTGTAAAAAAAAACTCTGTAGCCCTATAGATCTTGGAGAGTGAAGGATATAGAAGGACAAATTTAATTTTCTAGTTTTATAGAATGATTAATTTCATTTCAAAAACATAATACATGAACAGGCAGAAGTCATATGCGGTATTCATATAGCTAATTGCAACTGCTTTAGGATTGAGCCTGATTGAATCTATAGGTGAAAAATAATGAACGATTCATTCAATAAGTTGTTTAAATTATCGTCTGAATTAGAACTTTCTTGAATCTGTAAACTAAAATTATGTTTTTTATGAGTCTACGACTAAATTCTATTATCATTTCACTCTCATTACTTTTGACTTCAGAACGATGACACTTAATGGATATGTAAATATTGGCTAAATATTGGGGGTGGAAGATTGAAACCTTAGACTGGCATAATTTTGTGCTTGCGAGTTGCGTGTTGGTTTTAGGTGTTTTTTTTGGGTGTATTCGTCCGAGATCTAGCTACCAAAGTTGTGCTTGGGTGGTTTGATCATCCATTCAATTTACGAGTGCATTTCTCGAAACAATTGAAAATTCAACCATATGTAGAGGTCAATGTGAAAACTTCAATGTGGATCCGACCAATTTTTTGGGCCACAAGACAGTTCGCATCAAGGCCATGACTAATCCCGGTTGAGGCAGGTTCTATTCATCAAGTGGAGAACAGGGTGTTGGGTGGTCCCTGGCCTCCCCTTGGTGGGCTGGACAAGTCCACTTGCCATGTTCGATACTTCAATCCAGAGTGGATCTAGAATCTTATGTGCTTCTGATTTGTTATGAGGTCCTTAGGTTGTGTGGTACACTTCCCCTATGGGGCGTGTTCAGCTTTGTTATCTGGTTAATCTTCTTGTAACACACATCTCAGTATGGTTTCTAACTAAGTTCCCGTACAGGCGCTAACGCGTGCTAGGGTGCCTATAGTCAAGCTTATGGATCCAGAAACTGGGATATCATGTGATATATGTGTGAATAATGTTTTGGCTGTTGTTAACACAAAGCTGCTTCGAGATTATGCACACATAGATGTGCGATTAAGGCAGTTGGCATTTATCGTCAAACACTGGGCTAAGTCGAGAGGGGTAAATGTAACTTACCAGGGGACATTATCTAGCTATGCGTAAGCCTACATTTTCTCAATTATTTTCTTTTCCTCTCTCATTCTCTTGTACAGTAGGCTAACTTTTATTTTCTTCTTCCAGGTATGTGCTAATGTGCATTCACTTTCTACAGCAGCGAAGACCTGCCATCCTTCCATGCCTACAGGTGTGTTTTCTTTAGCTCCTGTGCTATGATATATGCCTTGCATGTGAAACTTGTAAGATTTTTAAACTACCTGAACTGTTTGTCAGTAAGCCATCACTGCAAGGATGTGCGAACTATGTGTTGTTTGGTTGAGTGTGAATGACTTTCCTCATCAATTGTAATCAGGGGTGGAGCTAGTGTGTTGGTCATGGGTTCGGTCGAACCTACTAACTTTGGTTTAAATTCTGTATTTTTTTTTATGAAATTCATTGAATATGTACAAGTTATTAACTTGGAACCCAGTAAATTAAAAAACTAGAATCCCGAACCCATAAACTTCGAATACTAGCTCCGCCTCTGATGGTAAATCTTTTCCTCTAGACAATGACTCTGCAAATTAATAGTTGTTTGACTTTGATTGAGCTCAAATTACTTTTGCTCAATCTATTCTGGTCATATGTACAGTGACTCTTCTTTCCTTCACGTGCTCCTTCAGTTAAGCATGTATAGTTTTCCGTGAAGGACAAAACTGTTTCTTCTTGGTTTCCCTGTATGATTGTCCGCATGGATGCATTTGGAACTTATGAGCTGTGGCTGTTCATGCCTTAAAATTCTCAGCATCTTGTACTAGTTAATTTACCCTCTCAGCAAAAGACACCAAGATTCTGTCCTGTATTCTAAAAGGTAGGATTTAAAAAGTATGATCAAGAAAGAACTTAAATGATTCCTTCTGGAGAAAAAAGGACTATAAATGTTTTATGCACATGGGCAAATGAAAAGAATGAGCAATTAGCTTTAACATTTACCATAAAGTAATATGAAACATGCATGTTGTTTTCCTTCTTTTTTTCCTGTCTACAAATTATGTGTAGTTCATTTACTTTCATTTGGTTCATCAATTTCTTTTGAAAAAAGTTAATCAATTTATTAATTTGTCATAACTCCGATAATTTGGAACGATAATGTGTCATGTCTTTGGGTTGGAATATTTACCCTTTACATGTGTTACTTCTCGGGCTTGCAAACTGGTTGGGATATCAAGGTCTTGTCTAGTGGTGGCAAAGTGGATTAAAAAGATAATTAACCATCCATATTATCCTCTTAAAAATGAATTGGATAATGAACTTTTAAAATGGGTCAAATATGGATAAGATTCATATTATCCACTTAAAAAATGGATAATCAATGTGTTTAACTTTTACATTTGCAAAAACTCAATTTGGTGGTTCCTTAAATTTGGGAGACTAGGAATCCTCCCAGAAGTGATCATATTCAAGAAGCTATGGATAATATGGATATTCATATTATCTACTGGTTAACCCATTTTCTATCCGTATTAAATATGGCGGGTCAGATTTTTTTTAATCCGTTTTTGGCATCACCTATAACCTGCCCGTTTGCCACCCCTAGTCTTGTCTTTGATCTATTCCTGCTATATATTTCTTAACTCATAAGAGAAACCAAAAAACTTAAGTCTAGAGGGGAGGGGGGAGGGTGGTATTCAGGCAAATGTGTAATTGGAAGGGGACTTCTATCTATGTGTTACTTTATATGAAGATAGTTATTCTTTTTTCATTTTCATTTCCCCTATTCGCTTATCAGGGAATGCAGCCAACCTACTCTGTTACCGTTGACAACGTTGAATGTGCTTACTTTGATAAAGTGGAAAAGCTTTGTGGTTTTGGATCCCACAATGGGGAAAGTCTTGCTCGGTTGGTGTGGGCATTCTTCAACTACTGGGCCTATTGTCATGATTATGCAAATGATGTTATTTCTGTTCGTACTGGAAGCATATTGAGGTAGGTCATTGCAGCTAAACAACTGTCTTGTTGATTATTTGTTTTCTGAAGATCTTCAAAATGAAATGGCATTAGTCATATAATGGTTCTGTTTTGGGTTGCTTACTACTCCTCTTCCTGTATCGTTATGTACAGCAAGCGAGCCAAAGACTGGACTAGGAGGATTGGGAACGACCGCCATCTGATATGCATTGAGGATCCTTTTGAGGTTTCTCATGATCTTGGTAGGGTGGTAGACAAGTTCAGCATAAGAGTACTGAGGGAAGAGTTCGAACGCGCTGCTGAAATAATGCAGTGTGACCCGAACCCCTGTGTCAAGCTCTTTGAGCCCTATATACCTAGCTGAGTTTGCCTTTTTCCTCAAGGAAACTGTTCCATAATAATAAGGATGCCCTTTTGGATGTAAATTCGTTATTAAGTTCGTTTTTTTCTCTCTTCTCGTTTTTGCTTTCACCTAAATGTATTTAGGAATTAGGTGCTTTTGATCATCATCTAGGTGTCTATTTTTGTATGTAAAGAACATTCTCCTAGAATTCTGTGGTACATATTTATGTTGCGTATTATTAAGGCATGGAATTGTTGCAATGGTAAACTTGATTTGTATGCTGGCACTCTAGATTCGTGGATGATAACCATAGTACTTGATTTGTATGCTGAAGGAACCACAGTGTAGAACTTGCATTTTAGCTGGAGGTAAATTAATTAGTCAATGATGATACATGTATACTTTGTGAGGAATTGACATGAGGTCAAATCTGAACCTGAAAAGACCCAGTTCTAGCTCTCTATTCATTCATCTATTACTGGAGAAATCAATGGTATATTCGAGAAAAATGCTTCTAAGTTAGCCAGAACAAGTTGGAAAGCATCGCGAAAAGCTTCTTCAGTGAAAGCAGCTCTATGTGGTGGAAGAACAACATTATCCAATGCAATTAACTCTTGAGGAACCTTAGGTTCATTCTCAAACACATCCAAACCTGCACCTGCGATCTCACCTTCAACCAAGAATTTCACCAGTTCTTTCTCATCAACTATGGGTCCACGAGCAATGTTGTTGAGAATGCCATCCTTTCCCAATGCTTTTAGAACATCCTTGTCAATCAGGTGACGAGTTTCGACGGTCAATGTACAGCATATGACGAGGTTGTTACAGGTCAATGCAAGTTCACAAACGTTTGGGTAGAAGTTGTAGGGAACTGGTTTCTTTTGCCTAGAGTTGTATGAAATTTTGCAGCCAAATGCCTCTAGCCTTGTTGCAACTTTTAGACCAATGTTGCCTAAATCAACTATTCCCACATGCTTACCTCCCAAAATTAAAAGAAAATTATAAAATTGGACCTAATAAATTTACTGCTGTAATAAAATAAAAGTAATGCAGTAAAATGTAAATAAGAAGAGATAGAAAGAAGGGAGAAGTGTTTTCTTCTTTCACTTTGGTGTAATTTTTCATTGCAATTACATGACCTTTTATAGGTATAAAAAGTAAAGATGATGGACATAAAATAGGAAATTTAATCTTTAAGTTATTCACAACATGGACATCCAATGTAGCATCCAATGTAGTATCCAAAGTAGTATCCAATGTACAAACTATTCATAGCACTCCCCCTTGGATGTCCATGTAAGATAATGTGCCTCATTAAAAACTTACAAAAAAAATATTGGGATGTACATAGTTATTTATAATATGCATTGCTTGCTGCCTCATTAAAAACCTTACCAGGAAAACCCAGTGGGACAAAACCTTGGTTAAGGAAAAGAGTGCAGCGTGTAGTTACTCCCCCTGATGAAAAATCACTTAATGTCTCGAAGACGACGCATTCCAATCTTATATATCAGCTTTTCAAATATTGAGGTTGGTAATGCCTTAGTGAACAGATCAGCCAAATTATCACTTGAACGAACTTGTTGTACATCTATTTCACCATTCTTCTGAAGATCATGAGTGAAAAAGAATTTCGGTGAAATGTGTTTTGTTCTATCTCCTTTGATATATCCTCCTTTCAATTGAGCTATGCATGCAGCATTGTCTTCATACAATATTGTTGGAATATTCTCTTTCGAAGAAAGACCACATGTTTGCTGAATGTGTTGAGTTATAGATCTTAACCAAACGCATTCTCGATTTGCTTCTTGAATGGCTATTATCTCTGCATGATTTGAAGAAGTAGCAACCATAGTTTGTTTTGTCGAAGGCCATGATATGGATGTACCTCCACTTGTAAATAAATAGCCTGTCTGAGATCGACCTTTGTGTGGATCTGACAAATATCCTGCATCTGCATAACCAATCAATGATGGCTTGGATTCATTTGAATAAAATAAACCCATATCAATGGTCCCTTGGAGGTATCTGAATATATGTTTAATACCATTCCAGTGTCTTTGTGTTGGCGAAGTACTAAATCTTGCCAATAAGCTTACTGAGAAAGCTATATCTGGTCGGGAATTATTGGCAAGATACATTAATGCCCCAATTGCACTAAGATATGGTACTTCGGCACCAAGAAGCTCTTCATCATTTTCATGAGGTCGGAATGGATCTTTCTTTATATCAAGTGATCTCACAACCATCGGGGTACTCAATGGATGTGCTTTATCCATATAGAATCGCTTTAAAATCTTTTCGGTGTATGTCGATTGATGGACAAATATTCCATCTTTCATATACTCAATTTGTAGACCAAGACAAAATTTTGTCTTTCCAAGATCTTTCATTTCAAATTCTTTCTTCAAACAGTCTACTGTTTTTGGAAGCTCCCCAGGAGTTCCAATGATATTTAAATCATCAACATACACGGCGATTATAACAAATTCAGTTCCAGACCTTTATATAAAGACACAGGGGCAAATTGGATCATTCTTGTACCCTTCTTTCAATAGGTATTCACTCAGGCTGTACCACATACGTCCTGATTGTTTCAATCCGTATAAAGATTTTTGAAGCTTTATTGAACAAGTTTCTCGAAAATTTTTATATGCTTCTGGCACTTTAAATCCCTCAGGTACTTTCATAAAAATTTCGTTGTCTAATGATCCATACAAATAGGCTGTAACAACATCCATTAGATGCATATCAAGTTTTTCTTGTACTGCCATATTTATGAGATACCTAAAGGTGATAGCATCCACTACAGGAGAATATGTCTCCATATAATCAATTCCAGGCCTTTGGGAAAACCCTTGTGCCACAAGTCGTGCTTTATATCTAACGACTTCATTTTTATCATTTCGTTTTCGCACAAAAACCCATTTATACCCTACTGGCTTTATGCCTTCAGGTGTTCGAACTATGGGTCCGAAGACTTCACGTTTTCCAAGTGAAGTTAACTCTGCCTGGATAGCGTCTTTCCATTTTGGCCAATCATTTCTCTGTCTACATTCATTGACAGATTTTGGTTCAAGATCCTCATCTTGTTGCATTATTTCAACAGCAACATTATAAGCAAAAATGTTATCGATAACAATATTATTTCGGTTCCATCTTTTCCCGATTGAGACGTAACTTATTGATATCTCTTCATTTTCATTATTTTTAGGTACCTGGACCTCCCCTAAGGTCTTATCATTTGTTACATCTTGGGGCTCTTCTTGAGCCACTACCTCTGTGTTATGTTCACTTTGATCACTTGCTCCTTTTCTTCTTCGAGGATTTTTATCTTTAGAACCGATTGGTCTACCACGTTTCAATCATGGCTTAGACTCATTTGCTTTAATTAATTGTTCTGTCGGGATATCAACTCGAATTGGAGCATTAGCAGCTGGAATATGTGACTTAGTCACCCTTGGTAGGTTAGTGAATGCATCTGGCAATTGATTTGCAATATTTTGTAAATGAATAATCTTTTGAACCTCTTGTTCACATTGATTTGTTCGAGGATCTAAATGAGACAGTGATAATGCATTCCAATTTATCTTCTTTTTCAGTTGTTTATTTTCTCCCCCTAATATTGGATATACTAATTCATTAAAATGACAATCAGAAAATCTTGTCGTAAATAAATCTCCAGTCATCGGCTCTAGATATTTTATAATAGAAGGAGATTCATATCCAACATATATCCCCAACCTTCTTTGAGGACCCATCTTTGTGCGTTGTGGTGGAGCAATTGGAACATATATCGCACAACCAAAGATCCTAAGATGAGAAATATTTGGCTCTTGACCAAAAGCCAATTGCAATGGGGAGACTTTATGATAACTTGTGGGCCTTATCTGCACAAGTGTTGTTGCGTGCAAAATAGCATGACCCCATACTGAAATGAGAAGTTTTATTCTCATAAGCATTGGTCTAGC